AAGCAGAAGAAAGAACAGAAGAAGGAGGTGGAGGAAGAGATTGAGGAGGAAGAAGATGAAGCAATTGAGAAAGATATTCCAGCCCAGGTACTAAGCCACTTATGTCACAAATAATACCCTCCCCACAAATACAACCACCTGGTGCACCTCCTGGTCCTCCTGCTGGCCCACCACCTGGGCCGCCTCCTGGTTTGCCACAGAATTTCCAAGCAGGTGTACCACAACCACAGTTTTCTCGACCTCCACCAATGAGAGGGGTTCCCCCAAGAATGCTGCCACCTGGACCACCACCTGGTAGACCAACTGGAATGCCTCCAGGGCCACCACCTGGGGTACCCCCTCTGATGAGACGTGCTCCTCCCAGGATGATGCCTCCAGGTCCACCTGGAATACCTCCACCTGGTGGCCCACCACACCGAGGTATGCCACTCCGACCACCAGGGGTTGGGCCACCACCTGGACCACCCGGACCACCTGGAGTGCCACGCCTACAGAATCCTAATGTATTAAGTGCGCCACCAAGCATCAACCGGCCACCACAGAAACATGAAGATTCTGCAACTATTGAAAAGAAAGCAACCACAACCATCAGTGCTAAGCCTCAAATTCGTAACATGCAAGCTGAAGTGACAAGATTTTTACCAACATCATTACGAGTGAAACGAGAACCAAGGAGTAAGCAAGCACCAGCAATAAAAACTACAACATCGTCTCTTGGAACACTAAGAGATGAACCCTTGGGTTCAGTGGAGAAAACTATGAAACCCACAGTAACCGCGGCAACCAAAGATGATGCTTATGACCAGTTCATGAAGGAGATGGCAGGATTCTTATAACTTATTGTATAAGATTATTACAGAAATCATGTATTCTTTGCATGCAACATAAAATGAATTTGGATTTAGGTATCTGTTCATTTGTTAGTTTATTCTGGTAGTTAAATTCCATGCTATAGGCAGTAAAAATTTATCAAGAGGAGCACACTTACCTTTTTAGCTGTAAAAATACAAATGCTGGAACTCTCATCCATACTTGTCTTTTTTCCTGTAGAGCCAAATTTTCGTCTGTGATATAAATAACAAATTTGGAGCAAGTTGCCAATGCTATTTAGGCAACAATTTATGCATGTGCACTGCTTCCGTCTTGAGAACACTTTGCTGAATACATGTAATTTATTATTTTGATAACTGCGATGAAATTTCAATCTCATTTTATGTGATACCAGAGCTATTAAAACATTTTCACTACTCAAATGGCTTTTTGAAAACATTATTGCGCCCTCTATGTTCAAGTACTAATATGACTTTTTCTTGCGTATAGAATATCTTTCTACAGTTCTTGGAAAAAATAGTATCAAGTAGAAAATACATTCTCACTTGAATGTTGTATTGTATTTAAACTGTCCCAAATCAGGAAATATTACAAGCAATTTGCACTTGTCAGTTAAGAATGAATTCCATCTAAATTACTTTTGTCCCGCGTGTAAGGAACAAGAGAAAGACTGGACTATCTGTTAAGCTGACTTAGTCAGATCAACAATCAGGTCTGTCAATGCAAATTTTTATTTCTAAGGCTCTGTATATGTGTATTTTTTATCTTAAAATAAAGTACTTTAATACTAATATGGCTTACATCGTTATTTGCATGTGGTATTTCTATAAAACATGTTTTCCCCTACTGCATTGGGTTGGTATTGTATCGCTCACAATTGAATATTTCTGCAACATTAGATCTGCTAAAAATAAACCCAGTGAAAGGTATCTTAGGTATCGCATGTACCATAACATTTTTATAATTTTCTATTTTTTCTGACTGGCATGTGTGCATAATAGGATCTTTGATTTATTAACTTTTTAATCATTCGCATAATCCAATTATGTAAATAATTTGCATTAGGCTCGGAAAGTTTTTCCCAAATCACACAACATGACCAAATCATAGATTCTTACACACAATTTAAAAGTCAGTTTGTCATGATTTGAAGCCGATGTTTTTTTCAACATCGCACATCAGTGCTAATGTAATCGACCAATCTTATCTGAAAGTGTCTGGTACAAATCCCCGCTTAGATCTTTTAAATACTTCCTGAGGCAACCTGTCGTGACGGAGCAGTCCAGGCGCTCAGAAATAACTAATAGGTGTTCTGTTTCCAGTGGCGTGCCTTGTCAATAATCTATAACGTCATGTGGACTACTCTGCGCATGTACACTGTCGCCTATTTACTCCTGCGCATAGCAATTTGAAATCAAATTTTTTGTTCATTCACAATAATTGTGAGTCTAATCTATTTTGTTAAGTAAATAAGCGGAAGCGATGATGGGTTAAAAGGAAAAATAAACAATGGCTATAAGACTTGAAACAAAAAGTTTGAAACAAACAAAGGCTATAAATTAGATTGAAACTCATCCTCTCTCTTGTTCTACCTTCCATAGTTGAGGTGATTTGTCAGATGGCTTACCATCAAGGGGGGAGTTGCATGACACGATTAGTTGAAATATTCATCTCATTTGCATAAATTAATATTCCTGAGGAATGAAAAACTTGTCTTTTCAGTAAAACTGCCAAAATGATTTCCGATGACACGCATGATAGTTCTAAATTGACTGATTCTATCGCTATGAACTGAAAATATAATCGAAAAACTGATAAACATATTGAAAGTACCATAGGTTTTTTCTTTAGCAGAGGCACGTCAATATTTCATTTTAGTACTATTGTTCAAAATGTTTTCAGTTACTTTTATTAGTGACAAGTTACCTAATTAGTATGCATTTTGAGAAACCACTGTCTGTGTGCATGCGCTGTTTGAAATGGAACATATCCAGCAAGATATTGTGGTGTCAAACTGGTTGTCGATTAATTTGTTTTGCAATAGGCATAATTTTAGAGCCTGTATTTTTCTATGTGACGTTTCTAAGTTTTGTTGAGGATTAGATTATTCTGTAAAGAAATCACTCAAATTATTTCATCAGTTCGTAAATGGGATGTTGTTGCTTCGATGATGGCCTATGGATGACGAACTTCAAAACTTTCCACCCACCCAGATCGGACGGCGCCCTCCCGTACCAACTCCCCCCCCCCCCGTCACCAACTGTCAATGTTACAGTCTAGCGCCCTCTATAAGACAGGTGACACATTCCCCAGCTGTGTAGTGATTGTTATTGAACGTACCGTAACCCAAACAATCGGTGCACATGCGAATTCATTCATACGTATTTAGTTGTGTGCTACAAGACAACAATTTTATTTCTTGATAAATCGCAATCAGCATGCAGTGTCAATATGCGCTTTCACCCATATTTAATCTACCCTAGTGATTTATAGTAGAATTGTAATCATATCAGTTTACATTCAAAGTGAGCACATTTCTGATTGACACTTAACATCCTGATCTTGATGAATGTGGCCGCCTCTTTTCAAAACCCTATGACAAATGTTTATCCGTTTGTAACGCTGTCTGATTCATAGCTGGTAGGGCACCTGAAGATAATAACAATTGTCAATTTAACACAATACACAGTACAAGGTGGCTGTTAATGATAAGCCGTTAAGTAAGACAATAAGTGTGAACAATAGATTGGTGCTTACAACAGATTGTAGTTTGTTGTCTCAATTTTAATACATAATTAGAAGTAAAATGTACCTGCTATTTTAACGTACTGATGTGTGAATACTGTTCAGTGTCCATCAAACAATGGGTTATTCACATGCATTGCTTAGTGAAATTAGCTCGTAGATTACAGCAAAGTAGGTTAATAATTAAAATAATTGTATGTTGTTTTTCTCATTAAGTTTGAATCAGGAGTTCTGTTAGCCACACAATGGCTTAACTGCATATTCAAGTCAGATGTTGAAGAATTTGGGTTCATTACTGTACAGCACTACAAGATTATTAACTGCGTTTATTTTCGTTTATTTCACTCATGGAGGTAAAAAGTCTCTTTTTACCTCCATGTTTCACTGATACTAAAAATGCTCATCCCCTGGTACTATATTTAAACTTTCTTCACAAACAATTGCGTTTAAACCCTAGTGAATATCAAATCTGCTAAAACTATATTCAGTGAATATTCCTCAATATATGATAAATTCATTTTAAATTTAGCTTGTCATCAAAAATATGACAAATTGGACTGGGCAATCAAATTGGAATTTACAAGTAGCAATGGAAAACAAGTTGAAAATTGATCTGTAATTCAGACATTTTCTAAAAGTTGCATGCTACTAGTACATGCAATAATAATCTTTATTGCATATAATCGTATCATTATTTGGATATTAACTCGGAAAAAGAAAATTACAATATAGACGAAAAACTGAGGATGCGAATACAGTAGTGCATATGATGTACCAATGTTGTCAAACGAATAAATTAAAATTAACTTTTTTAACACTTTACACCATGCAAATAACCTGTGAATTGAAGAAGACGTTCATAACGCTTTGGGCTAGACGATCATGTCTAGGTTTATTTTTATCTGCTTTCGTTTTGTAGTTGTACATGTCTATGGTTATTTAATCATAGCTATAAAACACATAGGCAGATAAAGAAAAAAAACAGACCTGATCATCTAACATACAACTCTACAAATATCCTGTGAAATGTACAGGTCATGTGATTGAAAGTGTTAAAAATCGATGTTTGTGATAAAAAAAAAAACACAATTTCAATTACAGCATATGCACTGCCGTATTCTCTTATCTATATCTAAGTTTTTAAATGATGTATAGGTTGTTATAGTAGCATGATTAGTAACTGAATGTCTGAATCTGAATCACATATCAATTGTTATACTTGATAAAGCTTATTAAATCTTAATACATTAGTTGGTTTATTGTGTGACTAATAATATAAGGTTATTACAAAGATACCTCAAAGTATGCACGAAGACAGTACAGCGAGAGTATCGACCGACATGCAGTGGAGGTCGATGCAACGGCATACTGTCTGAGTGTATACTTTGAGGTATCCTCGTAATAACTTTATTATACATCTTTTCCGTCCAAGGATACATAATGGGAATGCCGCAATCCAAAAAGTTTAGAACAGAATCAGCGAACTTCTTTGTGCAGAGGACGCTCAAACCCTGGTGGCAGCCATGTTTGTTTTTGTTATTATTATTATTCCATACTTGGAATTCACATTTTCTTATATGGTAGAATCAAAATACCTCGTAAATTACCGCAAAACTACGACACGCTTTAACTTATGGCATTACGGTGACATATGCATAATAATATGCGGTATTCATATGTTCGAGTAATACTGGATAAGCAAGGGTGTCCAAATTAAAATTATCTACTTAGTCTAGTGTATTTTGTTACATTCATATGAATATATTCTCTCTTTGAAAGTTTTCACTTCATTTTTTAGTGACCAATACACTATTAAAATTGAACAGCCTGTTTGATTGTTTTTACATAAAACCACTTTTCCTGCCCACAAACAAAGCTTTGGAATCAACTCGGCAATAATTGTCATTATGTCCTGTTTTATTATTGCCATAAAGTAATTCACTGCTTAGTTTAGACTTCACAATAAAATAAATAACTAAACATATTATAGACTGTCAGACAAACCCTCAGTCAATTGAAGACTATTGTGTTGATTTCAAGGTAACATGTCTTGTGTGAACATGTTTATCTACAGATGTACACCAAGACAGAGACACAACTTAGATTCCAGAACAGTTATTTCCCCTGATGGATGAACTGAGATTTCTGTACCTGTCTTTTCTGAGTATGATGGAGGTACATAATGTGGTTCACCAATACTCAGATTGAAATTATCCTAGATTGAACATTACGAGATTACAGGCCCGGATTGCTTCTAGAGTATTCATCACTTACTCATGTATATTTATTGCTTGCATCCAATATTTCAGTCATTTCCACTTATCCTAGATCAGTCAGTCATGCATACTTAGATTTTGCACATTTACCGGTATGTTTTGGTACACACTGGGGGAAAAAAGACACTTCAACTATTTCAGTTCCACTAATTATCCGATTTCATTATGCATGTAGTATTATTGATTTATTTATTTGAATGCGGTGGACTATGTACCAGTATAGTGCATGCCAGTAATTTAAATGTAGAAAATGCCCCGTCATTTATCAAAAATACATCATACGGTATGTAAAAGATATAATATAATGTAGCGCCTATAGTGACATAAATGGGTGATAGATGACACTACTCTATCAATATTATTTGAATCTCAAGTCATCCATCAATTTTTTTAATATTTTCTATACTACTTTAAATAATGACTGGAGTTTGAGAATTTCAGAACTCTTTTTGGAGAATTTCATTCAAAAGTACCTTATTCAAAGCATTAAAGTTACTTGCTTTGAATACATGTGCTAGCTAGCAATCTAATTCCCAGTTTTAACACACATTTTGAACATGGTAGCTAAAACCCAGTGACATACAAGATTTAAACACGGTTACTAAAAATCTTTTTCAGTAACCTAGAACATGTTTACTGGATGTGTGTCCAAATAATATAAATGCCATGTTTGCTCTAATAAACTGAAAATTGCATTATATTGTATACATGTACTTAATCATAAAAGTATGACTATAATTGACCATTTATGTCAATATTTCTAA